TTATCATGTTTACGACGTAATATTAATCAAGATGCTATGCCAAATCTGTGTCGACGAGTTTTATATCATCGTTTAATGGTTCTTAATAGTAGTAAGATATAAAATAAACAACTTATATTGCAAATATTAGATTTATTTTAGCAATTAATCATTCACAATAATCGATAAATTGCATATAGATCTTGTGTTACATACGAAGAGTATTGTTTTTGTTGTTTTTCATAGATTGAAAAAATATTTGATAGCTTAGTTCAGTATATCGCTTATATTTGTACTCATTCAATAGGGAATGGTAATAATAAGTTAGTAGTCAAGATAATATATACATCTGTCATAGCTCTCATATTCAATACCTAGATGTTCTATTCTGGGTCCTTATTCTATATCCTTTACCATCTATTGAATATCATCTGCACTACAATGATAACTGTATTTGGTCTTTTCTAATGCACATTTATCATGCATTTAAGCAATAAATTTGTTTTAGCTGTAAGTAGTGCTATGAGGAACAGTTCCGACTGTCTTGAAGTTTCATGAAGTTTGCTGAGGTTCGCTGGTTTCCTCTTTGTGCAGTGTTATAACGAATTTTTACATACATGCTCTCAAATTTCTGCGACATCTGTACACTGATATAAGACAGAAATTTTAAAAAAATATGCTGTTAATTAGACAGGAGGAATTAAATGAATTTATGAGAAGCAGTATTTAAGTCTATGCGGAAGATATCGTGTCTTTCTTTATTGCTCTAAGCGTACTTACCCACTTGTGACACAAATTCCAAAAGTTGAACATACACCAACCGTATACGGAGCAGATAAAGTTAAATTTTAATCACTCCGTAATTTTTGTAGACATTAATGAGTTATGAATATCCTGAAATAAGTTCAAGCTCTTTACTTATTAGTACAGAAATAATGTGTTTTTTTTAAGTCAATGCCGTGGGTCTATTTTATGGGCATCAGAAAAATTGATTTTCGAATTTCAGAAAATTGCAGAACTTCTCACTGTTCCTATCGTAAGGCATGTTTTTAACATTAATCACACATACTGGCACATTCAATGTTTTTATTTCAGAGTAAGAGCAAAGAACTTTTCCATACAACCTGTTCTCCTTAAGGTTTATGCCTGTGCAAAGTTTTAAGTCGAAATTCAATTTTTTTTAAGATAGGCCGACGGCATTGATTTAAAAAATATATTATCATCGCACTAATAACCAAAGATCTTGACTCAAAAGTAATTAATCAGTTGAAAGATTTCCTTCTTTGGATACAAAGTTTGTAGACACGTTCATCTAGCAGGTAGAAAGTTAAAATTTCTTTCTATGAAATAGAACACTTTAGATTTTGTAATTGACAAAATCATTTGAAACTTTAAATTAGCGAAGTTTCTGTTATAAAGATTTGGAAGAAAAAAAACGGATGAACTGAGTCATCAATTCGAATACAGAGACTTTATCAAATTATTATAAATTATACAGACAATGGATGAAATAAATGTCTAAAATCCGAGATCGAAATTATGATAGAAAAAAACTGTTAGCACAATCGTTGTGAGATTAAAATGTGAAATACAATGTAGCTACTGTTACTAATCATAGGAAGATTATTTTGGGACATATTTCTTCAACAACCTCTCCAGAAATGCAGTATCTATCACAGTCAGCGAGGAAACGTTGTGCAAACTTCTATCCTATATAGCTCAACACTCCTTTTAGATTAGTGTCCGGTACGAGTACAACTTTTTGCAGTTGGACCTAATCGAAATCTAACAGATGCTTTCACAGTCACAATGCAGTTTTCAAACTTTTATTTTCTATGAACTGTTTAGTTTGTTTCATAAATAGCAACAAAAAAGAAGAGATTATCTTAAATTTCACAAAAAGAAAGCAAATAATTCAGGATTCATTTCGTGTTTTTCTACTTTTAAAAATTCGAGCAGTTTCACTAGATATATGTTTGCTTATTGTTGATGACACTGGAATAGAACGCAGTGTTTATACTAAAAGTCATCATTGTGGATACATACATGTTTTTCTCGTTTGATAACTCATTTTTGTCTCCATGTATTCAATTATATCGATCGAACCAGTTTTCACTCTTAAATAGCAGTTTGAAAAAAGTTTAAATATTTTGAAACATGGAAATCGCATTAATTGCCTGGTCGGATTCCAGTATGATCTCATGTTCGGACTCGAGCCGACTCAATGAATTAGCACACCACTATTTATGCTTCGGATCGGGTCGGATTGCAAGATACTATTCTAAATAATCTTCATATGACATAATTCTATCAGTAGTCATTATAGACAGAAAAAACAAATAAAGAAAATAAGAATATTATTACATTTTCTGTTGTTTATATTAACACATTTAAATGAAATTCCTCAATCAAAAAGTTTGATAACACTTTAAAATTTTCTTTTTTTTTCTAAATTTAGATGCTATTTTTAATCAAGGTTTAATTGATAATTGTCAACGAGATATTAATAAATATTGTCAATCAGAAATATATGATAAAGATTCCAATGAAGATGATGCCGACGGTAATGGTAAACTAATTTTTTTCTAATTATTTTTCTAATCGAATTAATTATTCCTTTAGATAATGATACAGAAATAAGTGATCGTACGGATAATGATAATAATAATGATGGTGATGAAGTAACTGATAGTGATATGGGTGGTGGAATTATACAGTGTTTACGTTCAAAATATACTGATACATCAATTACATTAGAATCTCAATGTGTATTAGAATTAATTGATGTTATACAAACATCAAAACTTGATGTTAGACTTGATATTAAACTTTATAAAAGTTGTCGACGATTACTTATAAGTGAATATATCGATATGGATCAAGAAGATTGTTTAAAATTACTTTATCAAAAAAATAAAATTAATGATGATAATTATAAAGAACAAATTAAACGTATTATAAGAGAAGGACAAGCTGATATACATGTTGATCGTGCTTTAGCATTTGCATGTCAAGCTGATGTTTTGAAATATTGTAATGATATTCCTATAGGTAAGAAAATAAAAATTAAGATTAATAATAATAAAAAAATTAATGATTTATTAGGAA